ACAATGTAACAGAGTATCCGATAAACATAAGTGAACAAATCAAACAACATTTGAAGGCATGTTAAATTTTGTCTCAGTTTTTCAGGATTCGACATTTCACTGAGTTTTTTGGATATAAAGTTCCCACTGTTAGTCTCAATACACGATAACCTTTCAGTCGATGCCAGTTTCGAGAGTTATTGAATCTACAACTACGATAAATGTTCATTTGATATAAAAGTAATGAATGCACGCTGATTATGAAAAATAAAAAAAATAAGATGACCGATTTCATACAAAATGAAACGTCGAAAAAATTATAGCAAGTTAAAATTCAAATACAAACTGAACTGCGAACACCTCAATGTAGTTAGACATTATTTCCAATTATTTATGTTCATGATATTTTATCAGTCATCAGCAACTACCTACACAAATCCATGGAAGAAATACCCTGCTCCTTGCAAACGCATGCTGCCTGGCATACCTTTTCCTCTTGCACGAACATATAAAGTCTTGTAGAAAGTCTGATGCCATTTGTCCTGCAAAGGAAGCTGGTCCTAACTAAATTTCCCATTCAAACTCTCATGGGGTGCCCTTATTTGGGTTGGCTACATTTTCCGACACCCGAACTTTGCTTTGCTTCACGTAGTATGGCTGCTTAACCAATGACGCAGATGCCGGAAGCTTTATAAGACTTTTATCTTTATTTATAGCCAGCTGATATCCTAGCAAATTTGAATTGTTGTGGGATTTCTTTAACTTGTATTTTGAGTCGTACAACGCAATATCAAACACCCTAGCAGCATCTCTTAAATCACTATCAATATCACTGTGTGTTAATGCTACAGGATTACAGAAGATGCTTGATTTTGTCGTTAGGAGGCTGAATATTCTATTTTTTCAGATTATAAAAACCCACTTGATGTGGAATCATATTCACTCAAGGCATGTAAGAACAGCAGGATTTCGATGGCAATGGTTTAAGAGACAATACGATGGAGTGAACTTGCATCAATCGCCCATTATCCTTCAATATTCCAATTTAACCAATGTGAACTCATACTTGTATTTTAAGCATCAGGTAGAAATGTACAGACAGAACAAGAACATCACATCAGTATCATCAATTTTGATAGCGATTCTACCCTTCACGTCTCTTCCACCACACATAGCACATCTTTAAAAGCATATGGAATATCATTTTGGTACATGTATCTGCTATTCTTGGTTACAACGTAGTCAATAAAGCAACTAGCCATATACAAAGTGTTTTGAAACCATAAAAACGGCAAATCAAATTTGTCGGTTAAATTTGGTGTGACATATCTAAGAAAACGCAAAAAATATTTTTTTTTCGAGAAACAGAAAGAATCGTTACTAATCTTGAACCAGAAGACCTTCAATAACCTGGTACAATCCAGAATGTCCTGCTTTTGACGACCTAAATCATCACGTATCAATGCTGCTGCATATATCATACTTTTCCAACCAGATTCTGTTACTATACTAAAAATTTCATCAAATACAGAATTGCAGATAATGCGTTTGTCAACTCCACATTCAAAGCGCCTTTTTTTGGCATCGGACAGAGCTTGTTATAACGAACTAGTGTATTTGGTCATTTACTTGAACATACAAAAAACCGAACACACATACAAATCATACGCACAGTAAAATGTTTACCACTTTCACGTTTAAATTTAACAAACACGACTAAATAACAATATCTAACAGCATAGATAAATGGAAAGGCTTCTGAATTTCTAAAATAATTAAAAATACACGTGTTAATAACTACAAATGACCTTCGTAAATTGCCTTATCTGATCTTATAACTAAAAACCACAACAGTATCGGTTCATGTGTGCAGTGTATCCGGAATGAAAGTGTGGTAAAATGCAGATGTTTAACCCATTATTTAGCTTATAGCTAAATAACTTCAAAAAGTAAATCGGGGCAATTGGTGTATTATGCGACGGCTTTACAGTTTTTCCTTTAAAACACACCTTTACTTTGGCCTTTTTAACTTTTTAATTCGAACATCGCTGATAAGTCTTTTGTAGACGCAACGCGCGTCTTGCGTACAAAATTTCAATCCCGGAATCTATGGTGAATTCATTTACTGCACGTGCAAATAATGCTACTAGTAGTGAATACGGTAATTTTTTTGTGTTATGTTTCACAATTTTCAGATGCTCTCTGAGTTACAAATACATTGTTAAAAATGCCTTATAATGTATGAAGTTCAAAAGTAACCATATTTACTAATTTCGTTCACAAATCATGTTACAAAAGGACTCAATTATGATATTTGTCTACCGAAACAGCAGTGGGGTCTTCTATGAAAGTTTGGCAACGTCAGTAAAGAAGGTTTTCAAATCATTTGCACCATATTTGACTTTTACGACAAACAATTTTATGAAGTAGAATAATCGATAAAAAGTTTAAGACATTGAAATTCCAGCATGTATTCAGGTAATTTAAACTCGAAAACTACGCGTTTTCTTCAGCATTTGCCGCTCCACTACCATGAACAATCGAACTCACTAAAAGAAATGACTCAATCGTGATTATGTCACATATGCTAAATTTCAATTTTTATGTACATGTAACAAGAAGAACGAAAACCTAATAATCAATATTACCAAAAAACAAAGCAATAAAGATATTGAAAATTTAAATAAGCTCATTATAACAAATCAAAGAACAGAGGCATTTCTCAAATTGAAAGAGGTATTATTAAGTCATTTTGTGAACACTATTACCTAAAACTGCTTATTTACACGATGAAGTTTTACAGAAAGTTCCTTACTTAAGACATTTTATTCATTCACGGATAACCTTTCTAACACATTTGTTGGTACCATATAGGTCGAGTCTCGCGTCATATTCTTCCATATGTTTTCACCTTCTCTGTTGAAAGGGTGCTTGAACTCTGTTTAATGTCAGGGCCAAGAACAAATCATTTGTATTGATCAAATGCCAACGAGTGTAAGCTGTTGCACTTAACCCAACATGTGTTGATCAAATACACACGAGTGTAAGATGTTGCACTTAACCCAACATGTGTTGATCAAATGCACACGAGTGTAAGCTGTTGCACTTAACCCATCACTATTAATAGCAGTCAGTTGAAGTGCAAAAAATGAAAAACAGCAATCAATACATTTTATTCATTAATTGAGAATGCGCAAAGCCAAATATTTGAAAGTCAGGGATGTATAAGAACAGAAACAGTTGAAGATACATATATATATATGTGACCTAAACGAACATAACAATAATAGCCAAATCGATATAAGGTAAAATTTGCCTGAGTGAGTTCAAACCTTAGTTTTTTTTACAATTGATAAAAGGATGATTCTAGTTGGTTTTTTTTAAATCATGTCCATAATGTGTACATGAAAAAACGTACAGATTGCATGTTATCAAATGTTTTCATCAATCAGATACACAACTCGAAATTTCATGATATTAATTATTTATTGTAACTCAAAAACTAATTGTAAATTTTAACAAACAAAGCCTACAATACTGTAAGTATTGTATAATTATAACCTCCAATCATCACAGTCCAAATTCATTGTGAAAAACACAAATACAATTGCGTACATATTATTCTGACAATTCATTTAATTTATATCTATTTAAAATTAAATTGCACGAATATCCCTCTAATCAATTGGTGACAGGGCTTATACAAATTCAATTGAACTACTTACTAGTAAATCGATATTGAACTCAAATGGACAATTTGAATTGAACAGGTCTTAGAGACCAACATATAAATAGTAAGTCTTGTTCAGTCTTTCAGTCAATCTTCAGACATATATGCTTTGGTGTGTTCAATACTATTCAGACCATTAGCTTACAGGCGATTAAGATCTGTTGAGTATATTTTTAGAGCATTCAGTTATCTTTTTTACTTGACTTCAAATTTATCATACAACGATAAACTAAATTAACTGAAAACGAATACGGAATGGTCCTAGATTGTCTGAACGCAACATTTCTGAATAAAACCGATTTTAAAGAAAGAAAATATCTCAAAAAAAACCCTTCAACTGGCTGTTCTTGACTGATATTAATTTAGAAGTGACTTTCCCAACTGAAAGAAGCCATGAACATTTAGCAAAGTTTGTAACATTTATAAAATATCTGTCATATGACCATTCAAGCATGTGAATGACAGTTAAAATTTTAATATTTGTTTCCACAAAAATTTATTTCCAGACCTTTTATATAAAAAAAACATGCTCTTGTGAGTAAATTTTGTCTAGTTTAAGGATACAATGAGGCTTTAAATGTCCATTGTCCTTTACTTTTTCATTATGGCTATTATTACAGGTTTTTGAATTTTTAAGAAATTGTTGAAACTTCAGAGAGTTCCTAAAATATATTTACAAGAAATATATATTTCTTTAATACAAAAACATTTAACTCTATTATTGTTTGAAAGATTTTGCAATGCAATAGTTTTATTGTCCGATGTCTGGATAATTTCGTAAAAAAAAATTTTTGAAAAATTAAACTCATTTCTAAAGCAAAACATATTTCAGTGTGAAATTCGATAAAAAGAAAGAAAAATGATTGCAAAAACAATACTATCACACTTGTCAGTCTTAATCAGTCACTTAATGATAAGTTGAGGCCAAATAATCAAGATAAGAAGAAACCTAATCAGATAATAATATCAGATTATTTCATGGCATTTTTCATATCATATGTTTTATCAGCCCAAGGTACAATATCAGCCCAAAAGCCAAAGGTTCGAGGGCTGATATTGACCGAGGGCTGATAACACATCTGATATGAAAAATGACATGTTATGATCTTTTTATCATATGCTTCAACAATGGAGAAAAATAACAGTTTAATATATTGATCCTTTAAAGTGGTTCTCAAGTAGAAGTTCAAAAAATGAAAAGTTTATGGACGACGGACGCAAAATGTAATACATCCGATATGAAATCTTTCTATTATATGCATCAACAGAGGAAAAAAAAACCAACAGTATGATATATTTTTTATATTCACGATAAAAAAATATTCAACAAAACAAAATGAACACTGTTAGGAAATTCAATATTTGAAAAGTAACTTGCTAAATTATGCTGGAAACTTTGAAAAATGAATTTATTGTATCACTTGTTTTGCATTTTACATAATATATTTTCCTGCTTCCTAATATTTGTTTTGTACCCTATTTTGTTATGTTTTTCACTGAAAACCAATCATTGAGATGTATTATCTGGAATTTGCCGAGTAACGCCGGAATGCCATGCGATAACGTTACGGAAAAGCATGCGATATTAGCCGGATGCAGTTGATTATTTTTTCATATCAGCCCGCTAAGCACTATTTCGGAAAATATGGAATTCACGTAAATTTAATGCTATTATCATACTGAAAAAATTATAAGTTATTTACTCTAAGTATATAATAATATATGATATTCAAGGTTCTCACAGGAAATTTGAGACCATATCCACTGTGAAGCCCGGATAACAATTATATAATACTAGATTTGTTCATATTTCAACATTAATCACCAATTTGATCTTTATTTTATTTTGCAGGGGATGTGGGTTCATATCTCATGTCAAGGTAAAAAATCAAATTGCAGTTTAAGCCGGGATATACTTGTATGAATATTTAATATTGCAATTTATAAAAACTCGCTATGTAAATGTATATGTGTGTGTGTTAAATACTTGCATGAAACTATGATTTAAATCTGTTGGAATAATTATGATATCCTTAAAAAGTTAATTTTTTCATTACCATACATGTAGTGTTAGAATTAATTTTCATTTGACGGTCATAGGCCACAAACACGTTTTATATAGCATACAGCTCTTTACTAATTCACTTGCATTTCTTATTGAGGAGATTGGTTTAAGGAATGTTCTATACGTGGGATTTTTTTCTTCTGGTTGCTGGCCCTACCAAAACTGTAACAGTTTCACCAGCAGTCTAAGTGAGTTTGTTACGATAGCTAAGTATCAAGTATATTAATACAAATTTATGTTTATCGACAAGTTTAGATAAAAATAGTAAACACAGATACTACTGTCAAAGAAATTAATCATGTTTACAGATAAATAATATAGTTTGATTTTAAAACATGATTTAAACAGAAAATATATAACAATAAGACAACATTAAAAAAACTACATACACATTACATGGATGTAATCAAAAAGATTAAAAAAGTGGAAAAAAACAGGGGGATCAGAGCAATAAATATGATTATATGTAATACAACCTTTCATAAAAATGAAAAGATTTGAAAAACATCTAGATTTAAAATTAGAAAAATATATCTCATTTCTAAGGACAACTATAGTTTTATGTGAAGTTAATAATGAATAATAAAAAAAAAACGAACTAATGAATACAGCAGTAACGAACAAAATGATTTCACAATTGTCAAATAATTGGTCAAAACATTACTGAAAACTACCACAAGCTCTTCTTGAATGAAAGTATTGAATTCTCTAAATGATTAATTAACTTCCCTTTCAAACGGAAATGATAAATAAAATAAATGGAACGAACATTTAAATCTTTCATTTCTAATTCAAAACCGAACAAATTCTTAAAATTAATTTGCTAAGCATGTTCACCATTTTCTCCTTAGCTGGTCTTACCAAAACTACAGCCAAGTATCCAGTATAATAATACAACTTTATGTTCATCGACAAGTGTAGAAAAAAGTAAACACAGATACTACTGTCAAAGAAATTAATCATGTTAACAGATAAATCCTATATTTTGATTTTAATTCATATGATTTTTAAGAGACAAAATATAACAATAAGACAACATTAAAAAAGAGTACATACAAATTACATGGATATAATCAAAATGATTAAAAAAGTGGAAAAAATCAATACTTTAGGGGATCAGAGCAATAAATATGTTTATATATAATACAATCTTTTATAAAAATGAAAAGATTTTAGAATATCTAGTTTGAAATATAGAAAAATATATCTCGTTTCTAAGGACAACTATAGTTTTATGTGAAGTTAATAATGAATAAACAAAAAACAAACTAATTAATACAACTGTATCGAACAACATCTGTTCACAATTGTCAGTAATTGTCAAAATCAGTTACCTGTAATCATATAATCGGTCAAAACATTACCGCAAACTACCACAATCTCTTCTTGAAAGTATTGAACTCTCTAAATAATAAATTATCTTCCCTTACAAACTGAAACGAGTAATCAAATAAATGGAACGAACATGTAAATCTTTCCTTTCTAATTTAAAACCGAATAGATTCTTAAAATAAATGGGCTAAGCATGTTCATCATTTTCTCCTTGTAGTCTAACTGAAACTGCTAAATACAGACAGCAGAAGTGAGTTAACTACCATACCCTTGTAGCAGCATCAAAACTGATTTTCAAATTTGACGCATCCAGTTTAGACAAAAAGTAAACATATCGACTGCTTTCCACAGAGTCAGATCATGTTTACAAATATATCATAAACTTAAAACTATAAAACTTAAAAATAAACAAACATATATATATATATATGATAAATCAGGCAAGCATTTTTCAAAACAAAATTGCACATACATTATATGGATGTAAGCGAATCACTTATACACGTAACAGTGAAAGGCAATATAGTTTCATTGGAAAAGAACAATATAATTAGATATGCAACTTGAAAAAAATCACCCATCAAAATATACCATGCCATCATGGCAAAATGATCCTCAGAAGTTTTATTTACTGCAGAACACAATTATCATCTTTTCTTTTTCGACCCTCAACGAAACGTGCTATTGCAACTACCGGGGAACTTTCAGCATCACCAGGAGGTGACTGAAGGGATCGTTGTATTGTTGTAGAAGTTGAACTTCTTGCTTGATTACGATGAACTAATGGATCCACACCATTTAATGGATTTTCAGTGTTATTTGGAGCCGCATCAGGTTTTTCCACAGGAGGCATTGTCTCTCTGTCAGTGTACATAATCAGGTAATCAGGGTAGCACTGATTTCTATCAAACACAACAAATATTTTTGGATCTTGAACGTCATCCACACAAGAATCATACAACTTATGAACCTGCCCAGGAATTTCTGGAGGTCGACGGAGGGAAGGATTACCTACTGTAAACTGCCCTACCAAGATTTTGGCTCTAAACATGAATCGAATGTCTGTAGGCAAATCTGCTTGTGTATATGTATGGCTTGTTCTGGCACGGACAGCAAAATACGAACCTTCACCATATACAGTCGCATTGCGACCACTTGTTCTGAAGTCAAAATTATTAGTACAAATACCTCGGCAGGTATTTAAAGAATCAGTACCGTGAAATAAATTCCTTTCATCAATAGTTTTACCATTACCATCTTGTTCAGCGTCGGCTAACATATGGTTCTTCTTGCTGTAAATAAACGAATGTAAATAACCAACGCCACATGCTAATAAATTTATTAAACTCAGCCTTCAGCCTATCATTGGCCAAAATGTAGTATCTGAGAACAAAACTTAGACGTAAAACTTAGCAAAGAATATTGATTAAATGTGTCATTGATCTTGTGGTCATAGATTTGTCGGAACAATGCTAATATAGATGCACATTAAGCAGTTGCTAAAACAAAACTCATGAAAGATACCAGACACATAGTTCCTTACGCCAGATAAAACTTTTGTCTATATAGGACTCATCAGTGACTTTCCAAACAAAACAGTTAGAAGACAAAATCAGATATTGATACCCTAAACGGGTAAAGCAATCTATGCCTTGGAAAAGAAAACCCCATCTGTTTCGAGTGAATCAACATTTCGTAAACAGCGACTGTTTCGAAAATGAGCATATCAGTTACATTTCATGTCAACACAAAAGTCCTAGCTAGTGGAAGGTAAAACCACAAAAATACCGTACTCCAAGGAAAATTCAAAACGGAAAGTCCTTTAACAATTGGCAAAATCAAAAGCTCAAACACATCAAATGTATGGAAAACAACTGTCATATTCCTGACTTGGTACAGGCATTTTCTTATGCAGAAAATGGTCGATTAAACCTGGTTTTATAGCTAGCTAGACCTTTCACTTGTATGACAGTTGCATTAAATTCCATTATATTGACAACAATGTGTTAACAAAACAAACATACATAATAGATAAAAATGTCAAAAATAGTGAGACAACAGTCAACACACAACCCTAGAATATGTACCTTTTGTTCAAACCACGAACATTGAAACCCACATATTACAAATTTTCACAGTATGTTGTTATTCACAAACTCTACAAATCATCTCTTTAGTCAACAAAATGTTGCACTGGAAGAGGATTTCAATCCATATTCGGGTTATTGTTTTATAAAGAAAATCAGACACTCCCATCAATATATGCATTTGTACTTGCTCAACAATTTCTCAACTATCAGGAAGTTTGAATAAGAACCAACATTAAACAATTTTTAAGTATGTAAAGTACATGGTCTTTATTTCTTAAATAGATGACCTAATTCATGCTTCCGCCTTATCAATTTTGTAATCTACCTTTAGATTTGATTTACATTTGCCGTTTTAAAATTTAGAAATCATTTTGAAATTATGAAATATATCTCCCACATGCAAAGCTTTGATTCCTTTGGCTATACTATGTCCTTCTTGTTTTGATAATCTTGTCAACGTTTGTATTAAGATTGGGATTTTTAAAATATACTTTGGCCTCGAGCATCACCGAAGAGAAATTAATTGTCGACATGCGCATCTGTTGGTATTTGAATGTTATTAACATATCTTTAAAATTAAGGTTTGAAAATTATATCAGTAAACACATCACTGATTCAATCATCAGATTGGAATGAAATATTTCTAGAGAGAAAATGTCCCTCATGTCTTAGAAGACCGACGCATTTAAACCAATATGCACTTAAGATTTTGACCACTGTCTTTTGTTTTACAACATTGAAATGCTATTAAACTTACATGTCATATTCGCTCCATAGTTTTCTACTTTGAATTCGATATATTAACTTGAACTCAAATCGAACTGGATCCATGGTATCGGTAAGTGACGTCAACACTTCCCTGTACTCTTTCCCTGTCGTCTCAAGTTCAACCAGTTCAAAGTCATGTGCACAATCCCAATTATAGAAATGAGCAGGTTTTACTGTACTCGTAGCTGCAGGAAATGGTATACTCTGTGGACTAAAGAGATAATTTAATGGAAATCCACGTTTTTGGAATTGATATTTGATGAATTTTAATGAGTTGTCTCCCTTATGTGATGATATGCTTTAAAAGTGTAAGAAGATATAAAGGTAATAACTACAATACACTTTTGTCTACGACATCAACACGGACAAAAGAAACAAGGCTTTAAGCAGACAAACAACATAATTACTTTATGGGTGATTTCAAATCTGAAACAATGGTGTTATAGATATTCATACATACCTTATAACATTGTTTGATTGGCTAACAATTACATTAGTCACTCATTAAAAATGTACATGGTGTCATTTACAAAGATTGAATATTGATTTCAGATTCTATTCTGAGAAACACTCATACTTAAATTCACTCTATTTTGTACACACTTAAAAAGATGACCTGTGTTGAAAGAGCATTATAGAATAAGTAGCAAAGGCAGGTCAAAACAAAAACTATCAAAAAAAAAAATCTGGTTAGATTAAATAAGTCCAATCATGCTAATGCTTTAATGAAATGAAAAAGTAGTTGTAAAGTGACTTTTTCATTATAAATAGTAATACAAAACTAGCAATTTTAATATAAGTGCAATACTTACAATTGATTCTGAAGTACATCATCTTTTGAAACAAACAAAGGACGTCTGATAATTTGTCGTACATTATCTGTTTCTATGTTAACCTGTGTCATCTTTAGGAAGTCTATCCTATACATGATGTTTTCATTCTCCTTTGTATACAAATAAGTCTTCTGTTTTGTCTGATACTTCCTCTCAAGGGTGAACAGAAACACGTCCTTTGAAAGTAATAGCATATATTTGTAATGTCAAATTATATAATATATATATTGTAATGCAAAACTGATAATTCTATTCATAACATACAGAAAATGAATATAAATAATTGACTACTATTTTTAATTCTGTTTGCTCAAAGAAATTTTGATTTTCAAACAAAACTATTCGAAGATTATATATGTACATTACCCTTACAAATTGGTTATATTTTCAAAACCAATGATTCATTTTAATCATCCAAGTACTAAAACAAAGTGGCAACGTATCGGATGATACCCCCTGATAATCCATCATCAACGCTTTTAACCCAGAGGCCGTAATGCAAACGTATGATACGCAATTTCAGGAGCATAATAGGATTGTAAAAGATACCAGAGATACATAAAACACGAATTTTAAACAAGTTTCATCAGGGACCATAGACGCCACATTTTGCAAAGTTAAATACAAAAATATTTGGGAACACAACATGTACGAAACTTTTAAGGTTTTATACCGTTTAAGATCAACTTTGCAGGTGGAAGTTAGTGTTATAACTTGTCAAAACAGTTTCCTTACCTTATTTCTTACTTATTATTTATCCATTTTACACATTCAAAATTTCTTCATACACTTTTGTCTTTGATACATTCTATTTTTTCTTAGAATACAATGTATTATATTGATTGGTATGTTTTTGCTAAATGACTAATAAATTAACAAAACAATTTTCTATTTTTAAGAATTTTTTATTATCCATGTTGATTGTTTGTCCTTTTCACTATAATTGTAAAACAGGTGAACAATAAGATTGAATCATGAGTAATCAAGGTTTCATCACTAAAAGGAATTAGAATAAAATAGTCTGACCTTGTCAAACATAGTCCACTTATCACTGTCATCTTTCCAATACCACCTCCACTGTGTAAGATAGCTGTCAACCATAATTTTCTTCTCGGCGAAGGAATGAGTACTGAGACGTCTAACATTACACCTCTGATTGTCGCCACTTACTAATTGGTCATCAACATTTAATATTACGGCATGCATCTTTGGAAACCAAACATGGTAACTATATCTTTCACCGGTTTTCTGAATTATAAAATGCTTTACATAAATGCAAAATTAAGTATTTTCTACGATCACAAATCTCAGTGAAGTTGCATTAATCTTTAGATTAGTATTCTTTACACTTAGGGGAACACTTAAAAGACACTTTTTGCAAAATCAATTTACTATAGGTCATAAAATTTTCAATCGATTTCATACCCTGGATATCAACTATACAAACATTTCAAATTTGTCAGGAGCTGAAAGAACATTATAATCCCAATTTTCTCATAGCTTATTAACGGCCAAAACATACTTGATTTGGTAAGAAAATGCGGCTGTAGAATTCAAATTAAAGATTGGATATTAGATCTTAATTTTAAAAGTGATTTAAAAGTCCGTAAATTAAGACAAGATCCATGTCAACTAATCCTTTTAATAAACGTATTCCTCAAGGCTATCAATTCAACACAGTAGTAACATCTTTAAATATTGTTTTATCGGTATTAACATTGATTTTGTTTTTGATAAAATTAAAACATGACTAAATATATATTGCTTTATATGTACAGTTATGCTAACTCATGATCATACATCCTGTCTATACTGTTTACTTATATTTTGGTGTTGCACAAGGTCATGTGTTTCTCGGCATGTTTATCATGTCTCTTTTGGATATTAAATTAAAATTGATAATGGAAATGGGGAATGTGTCAAAGACAAAGACACGACCAAAGATCAGAAAACAGATTAAGGCCACCAATGGTTCTCAACACAGCGATAAAAATCCTTACCCGGAGGCGGGCTTAAGCTGGCCCCTAAACAGAAATGTGTACTAGTCCTCTAAAAATGGACGTCACACTAAACTCATCATACCACAGACCCTTACTTTTATATAAGAGTTCAGAATTTGATCAAAATATAAACGTATGTACACTTTTGGGATCTAGCTGAATTTTGTCTCCGAATGGCCTAGATCTGCTAGAATAACTTTCTGATGTGAAGCAACAATCACTTTTTAATTGTGAAGTCAAACTTTTTAAATTGTGTAAATACGTCTATTGTCGACAGTTAACAGCACTTTAGATAAAGTGATCTTATGCTGCTTTCCTATGCCTTCTTCGTTTTTAGGCTTTCGAAAGTTTAAATTTAGGCTGTACACTTTAGCCGAAGGGTGCCTGATAAAGTCATCAACAAATGCACGTGTTTTAGGTACATCCTGAAGCTCACACGCAACGTATCTTGTTAATCTCTCTTTGTATTATTATTTCTTTAGTTGGATAATCAGGTAAATATTTGTAAAAGAAAATGTGCTCCCCATCTCCCGATTCAGAATGTCAATGTTTCACAATATAGCAACAATGATAGAAGTATGCTCTTAAAACCTAAATATATCAAAAAATTTCAATAAATAAATCTCGACAACGAACGGAAATGAGAGAAATAAAAATAGAAATAAAAGACGGTTAAAAGGGAGTTCATGATAAATTAAACAAACCATCTGACCTGAACACTAATGGTTCATCGTTTCTTATTCGAAATTAACATATAGCTAGTTTTCCTTGTATAAATTTGAAGATTAAAGCTTGTTAGTAAAATATTCCACATTTCGTCAATTTTTACATTGATGACAAGTTGATTCAGTTTAAAATCTTTGTTGAGCGTGAATTTGGTAGATGAACGCCCCAAAATACATTTTTCTCGCCTGTATAGATAATATACAATAGAGTCGTAATGCAGATTATCATTCATCTAAATCACTTGTTACACAGAATCACAAACAAGACTGTGATTTAAACCAAATCACATTATGTCTGCTGTGCACTTTTGAGAATTAGGATACAAATATGAATGTAACATGAATGAGAATGAATCACTCTGCGTGCATCGTGTTTAAATGGTTTCTAAATCGAAGGTTTGTCAGGAATTATATCATGAAACTACTCGACTGTAAATGCCATATAATCAAAGTTAATATTGAAGCTTTCTATTATAATCAAAAACTTACTTCCATTAATATATAATCTTGAACATTACAGTAAGCTTTCTCTATGATCTCGTTCTGTGCCAAGGAAAAAGAAACCCATTTCTCAGATATCTTTAATTGCCACAAGTACGGCAATCCGCTTGGTAGGTGGTGGTTTTTACATGATGCTGACGGACATTTGTCTTTCGACACAAATAAGCAGATTTTAGCATTTTCTGTCTGATCTTTCAATAAAGAAGGGTTCTTTTCCTGGTAATCTGGATCTGATGGATTGCGACTTGATTGCTTTGGCTTGACTCTTTTATTATTGTCTGCAGAACTGATGCCCTGTTCCTCCTGTTCCCACATTTGCATCATTATCCTCTCCTTTTCTTTAATATTATCATCTTCATCATTATACTGTATTTTGGATGCAGACATTTTAGATAGATCTAGATCATCTTTACCCACAATCCCACAAATCATATTTTCTGTTGATTCAAATCTTTCTCTTCGACCACTATTTGGTTTGTCATTTTCCCTTATGTTCTCTTTACTTTGGACATCAGAAGTGATCAACTTTTGGGATGTTTTTACCGGACCAGATGCATTACTCGAAAGACTTTCACTACTAACATTGACATCGCTGTCATTGTAAGTACTGGCATCATCAATACCATCTTCAACTTGACTGAGGTCAGAATCATCGGAAAAATCTTCACTTACTTCTCTTTGTCTTGGTGGTACATATATAGTCCTAAGTACTCGTTCCTCTTCCCATCCCTTCATATGAAACGATTCTAGAACCCATTTGTTGTGGAACTGTGTGATGGAATGCGTTTTCTGAAACTTGCATGGGTCTTCACATTTTCTAAATATTTTAGTCTGACATAAATGTAAGTATGGACATCTTTTATCTGAATTTTGTATCTTGCACCCATTGTTGTAAATGTAATCTGTACAAACTGATGGAGAATTGCAATTTAGAACAATTCTTATGTCAGCTTCACTAAACTCGCGTATGCCAAGTTTATCCTTCAAACCACGATTGTGTGAGCTTCTGAAACTATGAGACAGCTTACAATTACTTTCCTTACAGTTACCTCTGATAAAACGACGGCAAATGTGAAAGAAATAACATGAAGAGTTCTCACATTGCCCGAGATGTTTTTTATTGTTCCAGTTAGCACAAATCTTTGCATCCCTGAAAAATGGTTGGATATAAACAATGGCTTTTCCATCCCAGAAAACATGAAATCTTCGACTATGTTTCTTGAACCAAAGACATATGTTAGAGTTGTGAGGGAAAAGATTACAGCTCTTCAGTAGATCTTCAAATGTACAACCTCCCTTAAAATTCTTTATCAAAAATTTAAATACCTCAATATCATCGACATCTGGTATTTCACTCTCATTGTCCTCTGTGTCGTCTCTTTTAGATTGTACTTTGCCATATCTTTCTTTTTGACGACCCTGACTTCTATCCTTACGCTCTTCACGATTATTACTTTTATCAGTCTGGTAATTTTCATGTCCATCAGAGTTGTCCGTCTGATCATCTTCTAATAATCTATCTCCACCACGTTTTTCCATACCTCTCTCACGAAATCTGCCAATTGGTCTTCTTTTCTGTTGGCCTAGAGTATCTTCTTCCTCTGCATTTAATTCATTCAATCGTTCACTCCTACTTTGATGGCCTCCCCTTCCCCTATTTTGACCATTTCCTTTACCTCTTTGATAATCACATTGCTTACCATGATGACTATCAACAATATTACATGACTGATCCGAGTTCGTATTCTCATTTTGTCTTTGACCTCCCCTATTGTTACCATATTTTCCTCCTTTGCTCTGTTTGGGTCCTCTATAACCTATATTATTGACACTTTCTGATGACTTTACAAACCTTTTGTTCAGACCATGTGATGTTCTGTCGCTTAGATTTCTTTGACTTCCCCTGTCATATTTATTAGATTGGTGGTCACGACAGTCGATTTGAGATCCACAATCAGAGTCATCACTGTCTGATTCACTATCTTCTGAAGATCCCGATTCTTCTTGTCTGTTTTGTTCTCTGCACCTTCTACCTCTGCGGTTAACTCTCTGCTTATGATCACTTTCAATGGCATTATCTTGCGGCCCTGTTTCACTTTGGTAGTGCTCTGCTGGTTCATCTGCCAATAATGATTTCAGTTTTTTAAATCTATCATCTTTAGCCTGCTTTATCTGTCCTAATCCGTCCTGATCTCTTTCCTGATCAACCTTATTTTTGTCTTTTTTGTCTTTTATTTTCTTTGGTGATTTTCTTTGTCCTTGTGGTACATATGATGATATTTTTATGTCTCGATTTTCATGTTCTGTTGGTGGAACACCATGATGACTATTCCAATTAAAATTTCCTGGAAATAATTTAACTTTTGTTGAAGTATAATTGAGTTACAGTTAATATTTCGATCTAATTTGAGCAGTGTATTTTTTTTATGTTAATCCTTATTTCTGTTTCCTGCAAGAAAACCCTCTTCTTAAATTATGAGAGAAAAAGATAAATGGCACTATTCCGGAATAGGTATATATAATTTTAAGTAGTACGTAGTTTTAGGACGATGCAACTTGGAACAAAGCGTAAAATCAAATTTTTCAAACTTTTATCAACATTAATGTTACAATCATCAATGCAAATAACACTCTATAAATTTAGTGCGTCCTAACAGCTTTTTCTTGACTTAACTTCGTAAAGAAATTCATAAAGTGTAATTGGCATTAATGCTATCATCGATATGTTGTAAACATGTCAACGAAAATAACACTATATAATTGTCCAACGTCCGAAGGGCATTTCTTGATTAATTATTTGAAAACCAGGGATTCGAAAAACACAATACACGTCGGAAGCTATATAACAAAAAGGGATTGAAAGAGAATAGCCAAATAGTCAAATTCATCTAAGTTCAACTTTAAGGTAGATTCATGGTATACTGCCATCTTGGATTGTACAATCTCAGTACAAAAATGGTCTAGTTATTTGCCAAAATCTGCAAATTTGGAGACAGATTTGCAATTTAATGGTTAGATTGTTTATTTATATAAAGAAAACTCTGTTGAATGTTTAGTTTCTGAGGAAGCAAGGACTTTTATATATCATAGCAAACCCTTGATATTTGACAAAACCATGATATCACAATTAACCTCCAAACTTTGTTTTAAAAATCAGCAAACTTTCGGTATGAACAATTGATACAATCAAGACAAATGTCTCAAGTTGGTCAAGAACTGATAAAATTGATTTATGATAGAAAGGAGGCCTCGTTGACCTCAAGTGCTTTGGAAGGATCAGTAACTAAATTGTAACAAATTCTTCAAATTATCTAGGAAACTGATCGTTATATCTAGAGTATTTGCAATGACAACACAGCTTGTTGTAAATCGGGAACAAAACAAAACAAAAGCACCCCTGTCGAAGTAATTTACAATTGACATAATGGTTACAGAGCTTAAGAGTCTTGATAGAGAGGTAGGTTACAGACGATGGAGGCCATGCGATGATCATAGCTTATTTAAATGTTGGTTACACTTAGTTTAAAATGAATTAGAGCTATCAACCTACATTAATTTTCAGAGATAATGATAGGTAATTTACACTTAATGCAACCGTAGAAAAGAATCAATTGATGTATGGAAAAGATATTCGTTATACCGGTACCTGATTGTAACGTCGACCCATGATTCATTGATTGGTACACTGGTTGTGACATCAATGGAGGAATGTATTGTGGTGGCATTGGTGGTGGCATCGGTGGTGGAGTTTGTTGCTGTTGGGGCATCGGTACTGGTACATACATATCTATAACGAAAAAGTACTGTATTTGATTTAGATTGTAATTAATCAATCTTTATGTTACTGATAAATTATTAAATCTACTAAGTAGGTTTCATTACATGGCTGTTTTTGTTTTGTCAGGTTGTTGTTTCTTTCACATGTTCCCGGTTTCCATTCTCAATGATTTTATTCATTAAAACATATCAATATGACTCGAAACATTTAACACGTTCTTTCATAGATACACAGATTTTGTCGGCAAGTTTTATAGTGCGTGTAGAAACCGCATTGGAAAATGAACACCAATTCCTTAACTTCTTAACTTGCGGTGGCGTTGTTTTTAGAGATCGTTCATTAAAACACAATCAATTTAAACTTATTTTTTTTTCATGCAGCTACATTATTCTTCTGGTTTATCAATTTACTAGTAAAAATAGTAATATTTTTAAATATTGTCTTTATCAGTAGAACATTGATATTGTAAATCAATTAGAATATAAATATGTATGCATTGGTCCTGTCGGTACTTATCTTGTGGGCTAGCGTAAGGTCATGCTGTTTACACATATTTTAAGAAGTCTATACAATAAATCCTTTGATGTGTACTGATTGGTATTTTAATATTGGAAATAAAGGCAACAGTAGTTTGCCGCTGTTCAAAAGTCATAAATCGATTGAGAGAAAACAAATCCGGGTTAAAAACTAAAACCGAGGGAAACACATCAACTATAAGAGGAAATCAACGGAACAACAGAAACACTAAAGTGCAACAAAACAAACGCCAACATACATTAAAAAGAACTATTGGAAAACAACTGCCGTATTTCTGACTTAATACAGGACATTTTAAGAAAAAATGGTGGGTTAAACCTTGTTTTATGGCTAGCCAAATCTCCCGCTTATATGGCAATGCAAAAAAATATCGCTAAATTGACAACACAATGTGACAGGAATACAGCACAAACAAACACAAGAACACTTAGCACAGAGAAATGGACAAATAAATAATATGATAGTCGTTACATCATGTAAACCGTAGAATAGCAACGAGCATCTTCCATTAACGACAGCACAGGACAAAACAAACAGTGACGTATTTTGTGACGAATATCTAATCTTGAAATTCATACAATTATTTTTACTAAACTATTTCAAACATTTCTCATGATTATGACTCTATTGAAAGCTATTCTGAATAAATGCTGTGACGACGTCATAATCATTTGGACTAACACAATACTTTATCCATGGAAAATGGAAACTAATCGACCACACTGACAAACAAGACACATGTAAAATGCACCGAAAACACAGCATCCAAACCACAAACGATAAGACATAACACAATATATAACCGAACCCACAACAGAAACATCATAACTAAATACATGATTGTTGGATGTATTAATACCGAGACACGTCGTATAGCAATGCAAATTCACACTCGGCAAAACAGTTATATTCGGGTCACGTTCGGTACTTAGCAGACAGACGACATAGATGTTAAACCACAACCTAAGACGTAGTAAAAATGTCACTAGTTAGTTTAGACACATACACATCGTATTGATCAACCAATTCATGATGGTGTCCATAAAATTTACGGAGTGTTAATTCTAATTTGTTTTCCCTCATAACTCTTTTTAAGCGGTTTCTGTGTAAGGAGCACACACCTAAGTATGAATTCCGTATAGTTTGAACATGCACGATCATAACGTATCAAATGAAAAGTGTTTTTATCAGTTATAATTGGCTTTGATTAACTTACAATAATTTCGAGTACTCTTTGGACGGTAATTTGAGATTTTGTTTTGTATTTCTAAGTTTTGATTGTGCTTTGAGCCCATCTGATGTCAGAAAACCTTTGCAAATGTTTACAGATTTTTCTTATGCTTTTACGCAAATATCCTAGATGAAGCGGTTGAAGCTTCACAAACATGTTTAACCCTATCATAATATTTATATGCTTGTATCAAGTTAGGGCTTGTAATTCAATGTCTGTTTTACTCGCATGGACTTTAGGCATTAGAACAATCTTTTTTCTTTATTTAAGTGTTTAGATTTGTTTTAGGTAATTAAAATTTCTGCAAATTTTCGAATGTGATCTTACAATGAGAGTAGTTTATACGGCTTGTCCCTATATTCTTATGTAGATTAAATCAGAGGGCAACATGTATGTACTGATCATATGGATAGGAGCAAAACCACATCAATTCAATGAAAATACGCAGAAATAAGAAGATTTATTTTATGCTATTAAATCTAGAACACTGCGGAAAAGAAGAGAGGGTCCTGTGGTTTTACTAACGACCACACAAGCAGACAAGAACATTTACCTCAATTGACTCTAGCAAAGGCAAGATACAAAAAATTGAGACAATATGTCAAAAACATATTTAAGTTATTAACCTGTGCCGTTTTAGCTTAGGTGGACAAACCGTGTGCAAAAGAATTATATTTTTTAGAACAATACCTATAAAGTATAAACACTCCAAACGAGTATGTACGCATATGAATGTTTATTTGGCTTAAAATGCTAAAAACCGTAAAGAAAATAATGAAGACGAAATAAAAATATTTCCTGATATGTGATTAGTAGATTAATGTACTGAACAACCAATGCGCTTTATTAAGATTTATACTATTTTCTGTTACTTTACTGTATTCAGGGGAACAAAAGTGACCGTATATGAATAAAGGCAACAGTAGTATACCGCTGTTCGAAATTCATAAATCGATTGAGAAAAAACAAATCCGGGTTACAAACTAAAACTGAGGGAAACACATCAAATATAATAGAACAAAGACACAACAGAAACACTAAAATGCAACACACAGAGAAACGAACTATAAGATAACAATAGCCATTTTCCTGACTTGGTACAGGACATTTTAAGAAGAAATGGTGGGTTGAACCTGGTTTTGTGGCTAGTCAAACCTCCCGCGTTAATGGCAATGTTAAATATAACACTAAAATGACAACATTACATGACAGGATTACAATTCAAATAAATGGAAGAACATACAGGACAGAGAAACACACAAATAAACAATACAATAGAACATTACGACAAGCTAATAGTTATCAAAGGTGCCAGGCCTAAAGATGAAGAACATTGATGACCCAAAATTCCAAAAAGTTGTGCCACATACGGCTAGGTTATCTGCCTGGGATAAGAAAATATTTAGTATTTAGAATAATTCATATTTTTGCAAACAGTAAATTTATAAAATACAAGAGTGCACACTCTGAAATGTCTCGCCTTCTTTACTAACCATTGATTTTATGTTGATAGTAACACATAAACTTAACATGATCCAAGAAAATGAGGTCAAGGTCAGATAAACCAAACGAGAAATACATGTTCACCTTACAATCATTCAATAAACCAAACATAGTTGACCTATTGCTTATAGTTTCTAAGAAACAGTCTTAACCAATAAAACTAAATATTGACCAATGAACCATGAAAATGAGGTCAAAGTCATATGAACCATGCCAGACAGACATGTTCACCTTACAATCAATGTATGCATCAAATGTAGTTGACCTATTGCTTATAATATCTAAGAAACAAACTTAACCATGAAAACTTAACATTGACCAATGAACAATGAAAATGAGGTCAAGGTCAGATGATACCTACCAGACAGACATATACACCTTACAATCCTTCCATACAACAAATATAGTTGATCTTTTGCTTTAAGTTGAAGAAAAACAGACCAAAACACAAAAACTTAACACTGAGAAATAAACCGTGAAAATGAGGTCAAGGTCAAATAAAACCTGCGAGACTGACATGTACATCATAAAATATTTCCATACACCAAATATAGTTGACATATTGCCTATAGTATTAGAAAAAAAAGACCAAAACTCAAAAACTTAACTTTGACCACTGAACCATGAAAATGAGGTCAAGGTCAGATGACACCTACCAGTTGGACATGTACACCTTACAATCATTCCATATACCAAATATAGTAGACCTACTGCTTATAGTATCTGATATATGGACTTGACCACGAAAACTTAACCTTGTTCACTGATCCATGAAATGAGGTCGAGGTCAAATGAAAATTGTCTGACGGGCATGAGGACCTTGCAAGGTACGCACATACTAAATATAGTTATCCTATTACTCATAACAAGAAAGAAATTAACATTACAAAAAATGTTGACTTTTTTTTTAAGTAGTCACTGAACCATGAAAATGAGGTCAAGGACAATGGACATATGACAGACGAAAACTTCGTAACATAAGGCATCTATATACAAAGTATGAAGCATCCAGGTCTTCTAGCTTCTAAAATATAAAGCTTTTAAGAAGTTAGCTAACGCCGCCGCCGGATCACTATCCCTATGTCAAGCTTTCTGCGACAAAAGTCGCAGGCTCGACAATAAAAAGTGGTGACTAACTACAGAATAAAAACGAATACGTAAAACAACCTAGATCAGCACATAAAAACAGCACAGCCGAACAACGCATTTTTTGTATCATATCTTAACTTGTACATAGTGTGTATCTGATGTTCAGTGGTTATCGTTTGTTGATGTGTTTTTTTGTTGTTTCTAATTTCTCGTTTTTATATAGATTAGACCGTTGGTTTTTCTGTTTGAATGGTTTTACACTTGTCATTTAGGGGGCCCTTTAAAGCTTGCTGTTCGATGTGGGCTAAGGCTCCGTGTTGAAGGCCGTACTTTGACCTATAATGGTTTACTTTTACAAATTGTGACTTGGATGGAGAATTGTCTCATTGGCACTCATACCACATCTTCTTATATCTATCTACTAAACTTGAAATTCATGAGAATAATAAAATCGTGTCCTCCTTTTTCCTTGCTTTACACTGTAAGAGTTTTGCATATTACAATAATTGTTGTTTCGACCAAAATCAAAGACAAGAATCCCTGATAAATTCTTACACTGTGTTGGTTGATAAGCATGTTGACTTGAATACATATTAGGTGGGGGCATCATTGCCTGACCATACTGAGGTGGTGGTGGTTGTGGCGGTGGTAGTAGTGGCATTTGTGGATGTTGATTGTAGCCAGCAAACTGGTTTATGCCTGTCTGTATTCCAGGCGGAGGACGTTGAAACAAATTCTTGTTTGGGCCTCTTAAGCCTCCTCTAGTACCTTGTCGATGACTCATACTGTTTAATTAAGTGGATTTTCTAGCAAAACTCAATGCTGAAAATGAAACAAAAATCAATTTTCAGGTTATTTTCATCATAACAGAATACGTCAAATTATTGCATCTATGATACTGTATTATTACATTAAAAATTCTTTTTTCCATTGAAATATTGCTTTGTAATTGTAAAATAAATCAGATATTACATTGATTAAAAGAATGCACCGTAAAATGTAGGTAGAAAAAGGAATATTGTAAACCCTGGTTTTTTTTTTTATTTTCAGAAAACTTTTCATAATGTACATTACTTTGCTCATACATGTGTTTTATATCTTATATTTCGTATTTATATTTTTGATAAAAACAAGCATTAATCAAAATCTTCAGAAAAAAGAACTTTATATGATTATCATTATTCCTTCTAGGAACCTAATCATGTTAATTTGATGACAATAATTAAAAATCCATAAACTGGGTAAGTAAGTACGTGGGTAATTAAGTCAGTTAACTATATATTAAAATAGTAAAATGTGTTATATCAATTAGTCATTGGACTATGTTACACAAACAATAAAATACACTCGACTCACTTGGACTATTTATAAGTGACTTTCAAAATTACAAAAAGTATTTAATTTCCTTACGTTGTACTTTTGTTTTCTATATACTACATTCAGTAACATTCATGTTATTTTAAAACTTACATTTGACTTAAAACATATAAATGCCATTCTTTTGGTAAATGTTGACAAATATCCACGTCAAGATAAGATAAAGATGAATTTCCTTGTGTGTCTTTCCGTTGATAACGTACTTATCATATTTATCTAGGGCAGTTGTTTTTCATGATAAACAATTTGGTTTGAATCGCGGGTATCAGTATGATACGAAACACCGTCAATAAAATGTTTTCTTTGTTTTTATACATCGTTATGTCTACTTTTTCATTTGAAAGGTACTTTTTGTTACCATGGTCGTATAGTCCGGTCTCATATAACAATTGAAAAAGCACGATAATGAAAGTGAATGTCGAAAATGAGTGATTGTTTTCTGAAATCAGACATCACTCACTGATGAATACTTTTACGGGGAAATTAATTGATTCTAGGAAAATCAAGTATTTTCTATTTCACTATTATGTCTAGCAGTCATATTCAAAAGCAAGACCTATATATTCTGTTAAACATTTTAAAATTGCAACAATATTAAACATACTTAACATATATGAATGTATCAAAAAGTAAAATCACAAAAATACTGAAGTCCGAGGAATATTCAAAACGGAAAGTCCCTAGTCTAATGCAATTGTGACTTTAATATGATTCTGCAAAATATTTACTGCGGTTTCGATTTAGCAAAATACCATCAGGTGTGGTTTTTTGTTTTTATTCAAATATTCAAAGTGTTGACAGTTTGTTTTTTTTCTGCTTACTAATCTTTAACGTTCCATAAAACCAGGTTCAACCCACATTTTTTTCTCTGAATGCCCTGTTTCAAGTCAGGAATATGGCAGTTGTGTTCAGTGTTTCTGTTGTTCTGTTGTTATTTTCTTATAGTTGATGTGTTTTCCTCGGTTTTAGTTTGTAAGCCAGATTTGTTTCCTCTCAATCGATTTATGACTTTTAAACAGCGGTATACTACTGTTGCCTTTATTTATGTATCTTGTGCACTTTTTTGTTGTTCTCACTAACAGAACGATTTCCAAAATTTACATGAGAAAGCATTTTATCTCCAAATGCAGATCATACATTTCTGACTAAAAGCAACACAGTGAATCCGAGAAAAAAACTCTCAGAAGACGTGATTGTGCATGAACTGACGTACATTTGATACCGTTCATTCTTCTGCTGTTGAAACGGGGGAGGGGATTAAAAAAAAATTTTCAATCTAAATTTTTTGGAAGAGATCGATTGTTTCAACGGGAAAGTAAAAACATGATTTCTAGTGAAAAATAACCAAAACATGATGATTTGAAAAATAAATATGTTCATAATATCTTTTTCTTCGAAAGTAATTTAAAAAAAAAAGTGTTTTTTTTTTAATTCTATTTAAAAAAGAATACTGCAATCACACAAAAAGGTGAATGGTATAGGTGTCTTTGCATATCAACTGGTGTTAATAGTGCCATATCATACTGATACTCTCTCAATAGTAAACAGGTTCGCCGACAGGAAAAAGCAGTTCATACAGAAACGTTTTTGAAATAAAGGTTTTATGATATTAAAAATTATGGTTCACAGGGCAATAATATCCCAGACAACATTGGTACGTTGGCACAACGTTGGTCCAACGTATGTACATGCATTTGCCCAACGTTGTTTTTAAACGTTGGCCCAATGTATAAGTGCAAAGTGGCCCTATGTTGGCCCAACGTGATGGCTAAACGTTGGTACAACGTTGTAAGGTTTTATACAATACATTGGCCCAACATTGGTCCAATGATGGAATAATACTTGCCGATGTTGAACAAACGTTTGGCCAACGTAGAAATACACACTGCTAACAAACGTTGGCACTCCGTTGGTTCAATCTATAAACTTTTCTATCGATTTGAAGGATACTAAAATCCCTTCCAGGCAACAACTGCAATAATTCAAAATGGCGAAAGTATTACTTTTTTAAAATGTTGCAATTATTGCGTTTTACAGATCCACTATACCATGTTGTGTCTTACATACTACCCGAAAATTTTGTATTTTGCCACTTTCTCTTCCTGAACAAGCATGAAATATTTGCCAATGGACGTTTCAGTAACCAACAACCAATCAATCTCTCTCCAGGAATTGTACTTCTGAATTTTACCCATATTCGAATGAATTCAATCAACTTATCCATGTTACCTATTTATCTTAAATAATGTAAATACAAAGGTATGATAAAATATACTTTATTATAAGCTAGACAACCAGCAAAGTTTAAAAAAATCTTTTTTGTATCTATACGTTGCTAAATCAGATCTAGAATGAAAATTATAAAGTCTATTCATGATAATTCATTTATCCCATTTGTATAATATCATTACAGTTTACGTTGCAATATCCAAACTCTGTATGAAGGTATTGATAATTCATTTTATACAGCTATTTTTCTAGTTCTGTATTCCAACATGGTTTTTATTCACAAGAGTGTTCCTTTTGTTTTCTGCTTCACTTTGTTTTTTCACTATTTCTGGCTCCGTCTTATGTTAAATCCTTTATCCAGTTATGCATATCTTCATCAAAGTTATTTCACTGCCCCTGTAATAAAGTAATGAATATGAGTACTCAATGTATGTATATTTAGAATATATTAAATCCTCCTAAAAAAATAAACAAAAACACAAAAAATACATTGTTTCCGGTGTCCTGGCACATTACAATAGTTAGAAAAAATACTCTTTTCCCTAGCCTATAGAAGCCAAGGCAAAAGGCATATTGTACGCTTTACCATAATGGTTAGACTTCACCTCGCTAGCTAGGTTAAGCAGGACAATTTAGTGTAGAAGTGGATACAAGAAACTTTGTCAAAAAACGTTCGAAGTAAATAAGTAAAAGTAGTTGAAAAAAAAAATACAAAGTCAAATCTAAATACACTAGCATTAACGGTAGTATTAAACATTTTATGCATATATATCTGTGAAATTCGAATCCGATGTAGCTTAAAGGATGGCTATTATCTTAACTTACTTTCTTAAAGTTATTCATTCTGGGCTATCAAATGGTAGAATGCATTTTTTTCCATCTCCATTCCTATGCATTTTCTAGCCAGGATGTTGTCAATAATCCCTATTATTCCTCGCTCTGTATTATTACTTTTGATTTATTTTATCTCCTGCAGTACTCAAATACAAGACCTATAAATTTATATTAAAATGTAAAATTGTATATTAAAAAGAAAAGCTACTGCAAGTAATTCAGACAATAATCTTTATAGTGTTTTTCTTTTATAAATATCCTTATGTGTGGTATAGTCTTTTTTTTTTACATCCCCCCCCCCCCCCCCCCCCCCCCCCCAATTTTTTTTTATATTTCAAGCGACAGCTTTTTTTGACTGATATTTACTCCTACAAACTATTTAAATATCGGTTTTGTTTTTCAAAAGTTTTGCCGAGGACAAAAAACTAAATTCAGTCGAGTCCGTATAATTATATATAAAAAGCAACATTCTTTCAATGAATTTAATAAGATTAAGAAATAAATACTCTTTTGGATATCTAAAACACTGTTACATATGCAAGTGTGTATATGATCAGGTTTCACAAATATATCGTATAAGTTTGCATGCGATTTAGAAATAATAAAACTAACAAATTTATTTATATTTCTATGAAGTAGAAATCATTATACCACATTTCTGAAACATTACGGAACAAGGTACATCTTACGACAGATTTTTTTCCATGAATAATGGTAATAAATGCAATCTTTTTAGATTTCAGAAATAAAATATTAAAATATTGGTAATTTAAAATTACAATTTGTTTGATGATACTAATGTTCAGTGGCAAATATTTAAACAAAATCTAGAAAATGTTTCGCCAGAAACGTATAAACTTCAAGATCAACATAATTATAAAATGATAGAAATTATATGTTTGAATTTTGAACAACATCCCTCAGATTAAAAAACATACTATATTTGTCATTCATAATCGTATATATATATCAGAATTTTTAAAGCTACAACTTACATGTTACTTTCTTTCTCTTTGAACCTCAGGTGATATGATTTTCTCTTTTTGTTTTCTTCGTTTCACTGCTTTCGTACAAATACACAACAGGAAATAACCACAAAAGTGACCATCCCATTACACTCAGATTTCCTATAAACTTAATTACCATAGCAACTATCTTTGAAACTTGTCTAACATATGGTCAACCTTATCAGAATGTGTTTGATTAACAGACTGACTGTATCAAATATCACTCTGTATATAATTGCTAAATTATTATGTTTCACAAAGTTTAATAAAAAAAAGTTATAATAGATAATGA